TGAGCGGAGCTCTGAACAAAACGATGGTCGCTCGAGCGTGGAAGCCAAATCTGGAATTTTCAGATTTGCCTTCAAAGCTCAAACCAAACATTCAATACATCAAAACTCAGCCTTTTGGGCCAATTTTTTAGAAAACACTTGCAAACTCATAGTATAACATGTCTTGAAGATCAATTTTGTAAAATCAAGCCCAAATGTGAGACAATTGAACACAATTTCAAAGGAACTTTCATGAACAATGCAAGAACTTAACATGCATGAGTTCTAATGAATTCCAATGCTCCGAAACATAACCAAATGCAAGATTGAACTCCAAAACATAGTGAATTCATGGACTACAACCAAGATGTGGACATGCATGTGGAAATTCATGAAGAACAACCTCAAAATTCAAGAATATGTACATGCATGCATGAATAAGCTACTCAAATCAACTCTTTAAATCAATTCTTGACTCTAAACACCAAATTTCCATGAACCATGCAAGAAATTGCTTAAGTTCATAATTAAGAAGATGATTTTCCTACCTTAGGCCTTGAATCTCAAGTGTGCTAGCTCAATTTTGCAATTAACCTTCAAATCTTCTAAGTTCAAGCTAAACTTGTTGAATTCAACCTTGTTCTCCTACTCTCCCTCTCTCGTACGGTTTGGTCTAAGAAAATGGTTGAACAATGGTGCATCAAATGTATAGATTAAGTCCTCAAACAATGACCCTAAGGTGGCCCACTCAATGGCATTAAGGTAAATAACTAGGTTCAATTAATTTAACATTAACAATGCTAATTTAACCATTCCAAATCAACTTTTAATTAAACCTACCATAAAATCATATAAATTCTAACTAGCATAAAACACTAACCAATTTCTGATTCAGCCGCCGATAAGGCCTTCAATTTGCAGTTCGAAATTAAAACGTGAACAGATCATTTAATGATAAACAGATAGAAATGCAACTAATATAACACACTCAAGCAATCAGTTCAGACTTTCAGCTTAATCAGTTACTTATCATGCTGAATCACAGATTAGCACTAATCAGAGGTGAGGGTAGTCACAACATGCCATCGATATTGTCCGCTTTGGGCCACGCCCACACGGATTTGTTCTTCCCAATGGGTCACCCATCCTAGAACTACTCCAACCTAAGCACGCTTAACTGAGAGGTTCTGCTAGGGGATTTCACCACTCAGGAAAAGGCCTCGATGCAATATAAGGATCTAGGTTTTTACTTTTATAGCCTAGGAACTTCCCCTTCATTTCCAATGTGGGACATCGAGACCTTACAATCCACCCCCTTAAGGCTGCACATGCTCGTGCAATAGCCTACCAGCTCACAAGCCCGCCCACTTGCACCGAGAGACGCTAAGGGCCCACACTCGGTACTTTGGACAGTCTGCTCTGATACCACTTGTAACGCCTCAACCCTTCACATGTCATCGATATTGTCTGCTTTAGGCCATGCCCATACGGATTTGTTCTTCCCAATAGGTCATCCATCCTAGAACTACTCAAGCCTAAGCACGCTTAACTGGGGAATTCTGCTGGGGATTTCACCACTCGGGAAAAGGCCTCGATGCTATATAAGGGTCTATGTTTTTACTTTTATAGCTCAAGAACTCCCCCTCCATTCCCGATATGGGACACGGGGACCTTACAATCTACCTCCTTAAGGCTGCACGTCCCCGTACAGTAGCCTGCCAGCTTACAAGCCCACCCACATGCACCGAGAGACGCCAGGGGCCCACACCGGTACTCTGGAAAGTCGTCTCTGATACCATTTGTAATGCCCTAACCCTTCACATGTCATCAATATTGTCCACTTTCGGCCATGCCCGCATGGATTTGTTCCTAAAACTACTCCAGCCTAAGCACGTTTAACTAGAAAGTTCTGCTAGGGATTTCACCATCCGAGAAAAAGCCTCGATACTATATAAGGGTCTAGGTTTTTACCTTTATAGCCCAGGAACTCTCCCTACATTCCCGATGTGGGACACCGAGACCTTACAATCCACCCCCCTTAACGCTGTATGTCTCCGTGCAGTAGCTTGCCAGCTATAGCTCGACTTTTTTGTACCCCCTTTCGGAAGGTTTGAAAGAAAGCCCTACAGTTCGGACTCCCGCGGCTCTGAATTTTGGTAAGCTGCGAATTTTGATGTATTAAAAATTTAAAGAAAAAAAGAAGGGAGGTAGGGTGATATGAAGTTTCAAAGCATTTTCAATAATAATTTTTTTTTTCTTCTCTATTTTTAAAGTAATGTTCTGTTTTATAAAAGAAATATAAGGAAAAACTTTATGAAGATTCTACACCTTTGGATTAGTTTGTGGTATTTTATTATATGTTATGCAATCACATACAACCTATCAATCATAAAGCACTATATGACAAAACTAAATTTATACCAACTAAGAGTATCTCCAATGGTACTGCCAAAGGAGTTGCCAAAGCTATAATTTGGCAAAAGTGAAAAAAAAAAGGGTCTTCAATGGTATGCTATTTCTCCTGCTAAACATAGCAGATGCCATTTCTGTTGCCAAATTTGACAACAAAAATGGCATTTGCCAAATATGCCACATCATCAAGAATCAATAAATTTTTTGCTCCAAATTTAGTTGACAAAACAGAATCCATTCACCTAGAAAAACAGAATTCGTTCACCAAAATTTTTAAACAATTTGGCAATTGCCAATTTCTTTCTTCTTTTTTTTTTTTTTGAAACAAAATTCACCATTAACCCAAAAAAAAAAGAAAAAAAGAAAAAAAGAATCAGGTTAAAAATAACAACAATCAAGCAATTTCAAACAAATTTGAAGCAATCTCAACAAATCTCAAATAATCTGAAGCAAATCTCAAGTAATTTGAATAAATTTGAAGCAAATTCTACACATTAAATACCTAGATTTCAAGATGCTTGATGGATTTTAGATAAATTCAGCATTCTGAAACTTCAACTTGATCTTCTTCATTTTCATCTTCTTCATCTTCATCTTCATCTTTTTCGTTTTCATCTTCGTGCTTAGGGTTTGACTTGGGGTTTCAGATTTCTTCATCTTTGATTTAGGGTTTTTTTCATATTCGATTTAGGGGATAGAGTGATTAAGAGGAAGAGGAAGAGAGGCATCATAGTGGTAAAAGAGAAAGATTGAGGAGGGAGAGAGAGAGAGAGAGAGATGGAGTTGGTTGTTGCAGGTTGTTCTACCTTTGAAGCTCAGAAAAGCAGAATGAAAGTGTGGTTTTATTTCCAATGGGTTTTATCTCATATGGATGGAGAGTTTCGTATGAAGGTTCTGGAATGGGTTTTATCTCAGCAGGTAAATTTTTTTTTTTTTTTCAAATAAGAGTAATTTATGTTTTCATTTATTTTTAAATTTTTTTTTATAGAATATAAGTATTTAATCTTTTTAGAAAATTTTTTTAAATGGTCACAAAAGATAAAATAAACAAAAAAAAAATACTAAAAAACTTATATTCAAACAACACTTACAAATTTAGAGAGAAAATTGGTTGAAATTTAGCATGTGTACCATTGGAGCACCATTGCTATAATTTGACAAATTATTACTATTCATTGTCAAATTATAGCAATAGCAATGGTATTATAGCAAATACCATTGGAGATGCTCTAAGACTTCAAAATTAAAACATACTTATATTAAGGTAAATTGTTTTTCTTGTTTTTATTACCTAATACATTAGATTATTTCTAAAAGTTTTATAAAAATTTTCCTCATATTTCTTTCTCCGAATTTTAACTTAAAAAATGAATTTCCTATTTTAGAAAAATACAATTTTAATTAGCTTCTCCAACATATGCAAAGAGGCTGATTTCATAGTTACAAATGGCAGAATGTATCTTAGTAAAAAGGAAAAAAATTGAATCAGTGGGACAATAAAAAATTACTTGCATTTTATGGTGGTTTAATTTATTATGTGCATGATACAAATCCTTCATGTGCATGGTTCAAGTTCTCACTGCATGTTAGAATTGCACCACAAAAATTTCCATCTTTAGTGTAATAATTTATCCACTATTACACTTATTTGTATTTTTTTCTAAAAAAAAAAGAAAAAAAAAGAGTAAAAAATAAATAGATTCTCACATCTTATTGGCAAAAAAACACCAAAATAAATATATAAAATTCTCATATTGAAAACATTTATAGATTGGTACTACATCACTTAATACAGCACTTCTATTTTGACCTTCAATCAGATGGAAGAGAGAGAGAGAGAGAGAGTAGATAGATAGATAGATAGATAGATAGAGGAGTGTGGATCTCTCTTTCACATACTCAATCCCATGTCATTGGGTGTAAATTGGGGATACTTAATTAGAGCTCTCAAACATATAAAACTTTCCAAATCACTCTGTTAAGAGGTCAATAAATATTTTTCATAAGATATTCAAAAAAATTCAAAATGAAAACTCTAGAGTATAGGTAAACTTTCCAAAGCCACTCCCTTGTTGTCCAATATATATATATATATATTGTATATTCTAGAATAAAATCTTTAATTTATTGGAATTACACAATTACTTTTGAAAATTTTCACTTTTTATATATATTTATTTACTATTTTTTATTTTTTATTTTTTAAAAAAATCTCAACTTATTTGATTTTCCAAAAATCACTCCCATTTTTACACATTTTATTTGATATTGACATTACAAGATCACCACTGAAAATGTTAACTACTGAAATTCCTCACACTTTATTTGTATGCTTATTGAAAAATATAAAAATTACTTCCTAATTTTTTCATATTTCGTTTGTCTTTTTATTTTATTTTATTTTATTATTTTTTTTTTATAATTCGTCTGTAGTTATTTTGTAATTCCCGTGAACATAGTATGGGTCATTACTAGTATTGGATTTATGTAAACTGAGGATAATGGGCCTTCAACAAAAACCAAAGTAGGACTGAGCCCAATCTTCCAATTAGCAACCCATTAAAATAAAAATAAAATAAAAGTAAAAAACAAAATAAAATACCCAAAAAGCCCTAAACCCTCGCAACTCTCTCTCTCTCTCTCTCTCTCTCTCTCTTTCGAGTCTTATAAGCCCTAAACCCTCTTCTTCTACATCTTCGTCTCTCTCGCTCTCTAGAGTTTCATTGTCTCTCTCTGGACTTTCCATAAGGTACTCTCTCTCTCTCTGAACATATATTTGTATATATTAGTATGTATTCGTGTATAGCCCTTAATCAGCTTTCAGTTTTCGTCAAATTCAAATGGCAAGCAAAAGTAACAGTTCGATTTGCTAATAATATTTGTATTTGAAGCTTTTTAGTTGTTATATCTACTCTGCTTTCATGGATCTCTTGTGTTTTTTCTCTCTCTCTCTCTCTCTCTCTCTCTCTCTCTCTCTCTTTCGAGTCTTGTAAGCCCTAAACCCTCTTCTTCTCCATCTTCGTCTCTCTCTGGACTTTCCATAAGGTACTCTCTCTCTCTCTCTGAACATATATTTGTATATATTATTTATGTATTGGTGTATAGCCCTTAATCAGCTTTCAGTTTTCGTCAAATTCAAATGGCAAGCAAAAGTAACAGTTCGATTTGCTAATAATATTTGTATTTGAAGCTTTTTAGTTGTTATATCTACTCTGCTTTCATGGATCTCTTGTGTTTTTTCTCAAATTTCTGTGCTTATTTATTCAACTTCTTGTTTGTGGTCTGGGTTTCGATTTTGAGCCATATTTGAAGTAAATATAATTTGGAAATGTGTGTTTGTTTTATGCTTTGTTTGTTTCTGAATAGTCTGGTTTTGGTTTATTTATATCTGTGTACCACCCATTTGGTTATTGGTATTTGAAATCTTTATGCAACATGTATGTGCTTGTTATTTGGTCAATGAGTTGCAGGTTTTGGGAATAAAGTGTTTTTAGTTGAACTTTTATTGTAAGGGAGCTTATTTTTTGTCCTATGTCAAACGGTTTCCTTCATCATTCTTGGAAAATGTTGACCCACAAAAAAATCCCACAATTTGACCCACAACGATGTGATAGAATAGGTGTTAGTTTTTTATTTGTTACATGGCCAATGATACAAGGCCCAACTTCTCCATGTCACATCATTGTGGGTGTGTGTATCTAGCATTTCTCATCATTCTTATGATTTCCTTTCCTTTTAATTATTCTCTCTCTTATTACTTTCTATTTTCCATTCCCAGTTTTGTACAGCTTATCTATTTGTTTTTGTTCAATGTCTGTTAACTGATGCATGATGACAGACTGCTTATCAGTTTATGTTGAGTTAGAAAAATTTGAAGTTCCTCGCAATCATATCTAATTTACCAATTCTCAGGGATTTAGGTCATGAATTTCAACAACGTTAAAGTTCCCAAGGTTCCAGGCGGTGGTGCAGCTTCTGCTTTAATCAAGTTTGGAGTTTTTGCTGGGCTTGGTGTGTATGGCGTTGCCAACAGTCTCTACAATGTTGATGGTGGGCACCGGGCCGTTATCTTCAATCGTATAGTTGGTGTGAAAGACAAGGTTTGTGTTTTGTCTTAATACTTGTTATCTTGCATGGAAACTTGAATTCACAATTGAAATAAGATTAAAATTACTTCTTTTACAGCTTTTCAACATTTAGCATTCTCTTACTATTTTTTTTTTTTTTTTTTCTTCTTTTTCCATCCATTTTACTATTCTGCATTTCAATAATTTGCTATCTTTCCTGGGTTTTTCCCTTTTTCCCTTGGTACCTTTTTGAAAATCGCATGCCTGCATGTTTAATGTGCAGGTATATCCTGAAGGGACGCATTTGATGGTTCCATGGTTTGAAAGACCAATCATTTATGATGTTCGTGCCCGACCCCATTTGGTGGAGAGTACTTCAGGGAGCCGTGACCTCCAGATGGTATCTTGCTTTAGACATTTGCTACAATTTTATTGTTTACCAAGCTTGTTGAAGTGCTGCAGTTGAAGTTTTCAACCTCTACTTGACATCATTATCAGTAGTCATATCTCATTTTTCACTTATAAATAGAATCCTTGTGATTCAGTGAGGCCTATAGTCAATACAAATTGAGTGTTTTTTGTTTTTGTTTTTTCAATCATATATATATATATATATTTTTTTTTTTTTTAGCTATTATTATTAATCATCTGTGTAAAAGGTTGTTAAAAATTATAAAACCTATGTTGAATTTTCTAGTAATCTGATTATATATAGTGATGCACCTAGTGGTCCTTGGAGATGCCTTTTGCATCCGTGGAGTCATCTTTTCAATTGCCTTATCCTCATATTAGCTCTCTAAATCTTTAGTTTTGAACATCTTGGAGAGAGACTTTCTTGCCATGCAGAATTTCTGATGCTACAAGTTTCAAGAAATTCTTCTTTTTACCAGACAGTTTCCTTTTGTTGCTTATTCTGTAAGGAAGATGTGGGCAACAATCAACATCCACACTGCCTCTTTTGTCTCAAATTATGGTCTGAATTCTTGGACGCTGTGGCATGGCCTGGGGATGTCTTTTATTTTGGGAACTTATGGAGGGGTAGGATCAGAGAGGTTAGTCTGAGAAGGATGCATGTACAGAGACTCAATTTCTTTGCGCTTCTTTGGTTAATTTGTGAAGTGAGGAATAGAAGGTTTTTTGTGGAGTGTGGTCAAAGAATTGAGCCACTTAATTGCACTCTTGCAGTTAAATCAATATTTCCTTAGTATGCCTTCTTTATGTCATTAGGTTATGTAGTTTTTGGGACATTGTGCGGCATGTTCTAATATTTTTAGCTTTCAAGTTTTTTAGCCCAATTTATCCTTTTAATTATTAGTTAGGATTATGCCATTCACATATTTATGATTGATTCAATTCCAACGTGTATCACAAGAAGGTTAGTGTGCTTGGTTCTATAGTATCAAGAGTGTTTAAGCACTCTAGGAGCTATTTTCATTTATCTATACAAAATGTGGGGATTACATATTTTTAGCCATAGCTTATAATAACTTGTTAATGACAATTTTTTTTAAAAAAAATCTCTGGAATGGTCAACCCTACAATGTCACGGTCGGCTACATCCTCAAGGATTGTTGACCATATAGTGGTTTGGCCTCTCTGAACTTTTGAGAATTACATTGTTGTCTTCCGCATCCATTAGGATGGTTTCTATAGATAGTTTTTGGACCTCCTATGATTGATCACGCAGGCAGTCCAATGTGCTTTCCACATGATAAGTAACTTGGCTTGAGTTCTGCCTACGGTTGCACATGCAGGTCATGCATTTGCCAACCTAGTACTACTATTAGTACTAACACTAACATGTACAATTTAACTTATAGTACATTCACCTTGTTTGTCCAGAAAGAGTCTTTAAACAAATCTCAATTAATGATAGCACCAGGAAGTAGTAATAAAAAGTAAGCTCTTTCATCACACAGTACCTTTTTTTAATAAGAATTGATTAAAGCCTGGAATTATTTTTTGGTTGTAGGCCAAACACTTTTCTAATGACATGCATCTACACAACTTAGTAAGCCTTACTTGCATCTACTTAGGGCTGACAACAACTACCGGCCACAATAAGGCCTCGTTTGGGAACATGTTTTTTTAATAATTTTTTGGCTTTTTGGCTAAAATATGATTTCAAAAAAACTAGTATGTTTGGGATGACTTTTTGATTTTTTACGAAAAGATGTGCAAAAAGTAGAGAGAAAAGAATTTTTTTGACTTTTTGGTATAGGTTGTTGGCTTTTTAATTTTTATAGTGACTTTTTAGCTTTTAGATTAAAAAATGATATTGTCAAACGAGGCTTAAGTCAACTTTCATATAGTCAATCCCTAAATTATATATAAAAAAAAAAAAAAACTATTTTTAGAATTTTGTGCAGATGTTATTTATTCTTGGAGGTATTTGGTACTGAAGTGGTCAGTTGTGGACTTTTGGGAGATGGTAGACACTTCAATGTCCAAGGATTGCTAGGGTAGAAGAGAGCCTAAAGCAACTTAGAGGGAGAGAGGTTTGCAGTGAGAGACCTTAGTCGCCTAAGTAATGGAAGATGATAAACAAAGTGGATGCCTAGTCCTTACTCTCAACTTTGGATGCCAATTGATGGCCATGATAATAGAGTAATGATCTCAGCTATGGGGGTGAATGCGTAGGGGAGACATTGGCAAGCCAAGGGCCAGACTATGTTGTTGTTGAGTGGGAGTGATTGAGGTGAGGTACGCTTGGGCAAACAATGCTCTTGGTTGTTCATGTCCAAGTGGGTAAGCTTGGCTCAGCCGAGTAGTCTATGGCAATGTTTTGAAAACTAGATTGGACCAGCCAGTTTGACTGGATGAACAGTCAACAGGTCTAGAGTCTGGTCCGGATATGCCCTCTAAACCGTTCCCTCTTGAAAACTAGTCATTTTAAGCTAAATCGGTGCAAACCGGCCCGGGTTGAAGCAAATCGAATCGGTTTGCTATGTTTGGTCCAATATTGAAAAAGTTGATCCTATAAGGACTTGAACCCAACACCTCAAGTTCCAAATAGCATGAATTTTCACTGTGCCAGCATGGCTCCTTGTTAATATATAAGAGATAAATAATATTTATTGTATTCAAACTAACTTCTCTCAAACACATGTATAATTAATATTTTTACATATAGTATTAATATAAAAATATAGATAAACATATATGTTTGATGAATATATATTAAATTATAAAGATATTTTAAATGAATGTATTTTATTTATTTTTAAATTATAAAAATATTCATAAAATAATTATGACATCACGGTTCGATTTCGGTTCAACCCGATGGTTAAACTAGTGACCCATGCACCTGATCTCTTTTCCAGTTCGCTCACCAGTCTGGTTTTTAAAACGTTGGTCTGTGGGTCTTGCCTTATCATATTTTGACTCATTCACTTTGTGTTTTGGTTTGCTAATGCGCTAGTGAGTTGAGTATGCATACTCGGTGGTCTATATGCCCCTACTCAAGCTAGGTATATAACCCCAATTAGTCCACTCCGGGACATTGTGGTGCCTTGGGAGGAATGCCACATGCAAATGCAGATGGTGATGCCAAGGCGGCAGTGATGTGGTACCAATAGAACTTGCCACATAGCAAGGGTGGTATATATGCCTATGATTCTTCTTATTATTGTCTATTCTATGCTTGGAACTAATAATGCCATGACTATTATAGTAACACTGCATATGTCATGTTCATTGCTCCTATTTGGCACTCCACTTTGTACAAAACATGAAACCATACCTGTTAGATTTACTTGATTTGTTTAATGTTTGTATTCCATTCTTCTTGAATTCTTCCAAATGTATGGGTTCTATCTCTCTATATTTTTCTTTCCTAATGTCAACTAGAGTTACTTATCCGAAAAAAAAAAATGTGAAATATATATTTTTTCAGATGTATATATATTTTTCCTTTACTGTTTCAAATATATATATATATATATTGTTTCTTTGTATCGATGCCACAATGGAGTGTTAGAGCTTAATGTAGTGGTTAAAGCCATATGCTAGAAGTAACCTTGTGGGTCAAGTGTATTACATCATGTGTAATAGTCTAATTCCTTTCTTAACATGGTTCTTGATTTTGTTGCACAGGTGAAAATTGGTCTTCGAGTTCTTACACGTCCTGTGCCAGATCAATTACCTACAATTTATCGAACACTTGGTGAGAACTATAATGAAAGAGTCCTGCCTTCAATTATTCATGAAACTTTGAAAGCGGTGGTTGCTCAATACAATGCTAGCCAGCTCATTACTCAGAGAGAGGTAAGGAGCTAAATATATTCTACTAGATAGTTTGAATTGCAAATTTAATTTATTGAGTGTAATAAGCAATTATAACTGTCTGTGATCAAATTTATGGTGTGAGAAGCCATTGTGGATCCTCATTGTTCTGGCTGATAGTTATGCTCATAGAGTCATTCCATTTTGATTTTGTGTACTGCACAGATACCTTAACAACATAGTTTGCTAAATAACAAGCTCCATCTCATTTTATGGATTTTTTTCTTTTAAATAGTTAATGGGTCCTTGCTTCCTAGCTATATTATGAATTCTTAGTGTTTTAGATTTACAAGATTGGGTTATTTGGATTAAGATATTAAAAAAAATATGTTGTAACTGACTTATCTACTACCCGCTTGTTTGTAGGCTGTTAGTAGGGAAATTCGGAAGATATTGACAGAAAGAGCAGCAAATTTCAACATTGCACTAGATGATGTCTCCATTACAGGCCTAACGTTTGGGAAGGAGTTTACAGCTGCAATAGAAGCCAAACAGGTGGCTGCACAAGAAGCTGAGAGGGCCAAATTTGTTGTTGAAAAGGCTGAACAAGACAAGCGAAGTGCTATTATCCGGGCACAGGTGAGATAAAAATACTGAATTTCAAAACTTGGATCGTGATCTATGTCAGTGGCCATGTGTCTGTCAACTAAATTAATGATTCATCAGCTATTGTGGGAATTTTGTTTTTGAGTTGATCTGACCTCCTGGATTGATGCATGCATTTGTACTCTTGCACTAATACAAAAAATTCTTTTAGAATTAAAAAAAATAATCCATACAAACCGGGGCAGTGGTAGAGTGCCAAGAAGCACAAACACTTCTAATAAGGTGTCCGACACCGACACCGACACCGATTTCATTATTTTTGTAATTGTTTTAGAACTGGACATACTTTGGACACTTGGTGACGCACATGTCAATCACTTGCACACATTAAACACAGTCGCAGACTTTTTTTTTATACTTTCAAGTTTGTCATTTGCTTCTGAATTGGCTTGAAAACTCAGCTTCTTTTTCCTTTTACGAGAGTAGATGCATCTGTTTATGGGATGACTGGTATGCTTTGTAGGACCGAGCAACAACTAATTCTGTTTTTTGCAAAACCAAAATCAGTTGGCAGAGTGGCGCTTTCTTTAGTAGTCTAACAATGAAAAAATGCTTTCTTTCTGATTTCGTTTTCTTTGACAATCTCTTCCTTCTATTTTGTGAGCATTCTTACTCAGTTAACACATCTGCTTTTGCTTCTAATGGGTTCCAGGGTGAGGCCAAGAGTGCCCAGCTGATAGGTCAAGCTATTGCCAATAATCCGGCATTTATTACCCTAAGGAAGATTGAAGCTGCTAGAGAAATTGCACATACAATCTCAAATTCAGCCAACAAGGTTTTCTTGACTTCAGATGAACTGTTGTTGAACCTTCAGGAGACAAACTTGGGGACCTCCACTGGGCAGAAGTAAACACAGCAGGTTAAAAAACCTCAGTAACTTCCCTCTTTAGTTCAATTTGTGAGACTTCATTTTTGGGAATATCTCAGTAAGCTCTGCGTAGTGGACATGTTGAATGGTCTTACGTGTTTTTTTCTTTCTTTTGTTTTTTGAAGTCTTCGGAATGAACGGATATATTTGTCAAACTTTTCATACTGTTCAATGGAGATCCGTGTTCAATAAGGGTTAGACTTTTATGATATGATTTTGGAGCTATCTGGTAACATGGCTTATCACATTTTCAGTTGAGTAATGTTAGAGATTTTAAAAATTTTATTGAAGTTTTTATATTTGGTAGAAATTTTTGGGGTCTCTGGCATTTTTATTTTTAGTTTGTTAATTCTTAGATCTGGCAAACAGGATGTGATAAGTTAAAATGTAAAAATCTATGTAAAAGATGAACGGTTTAAATCACCTTTAACATTATATATATATATAAGGATAAATTATAAATATACTTTTTGAAATTTGATTAAAATACAAATCGTTTTCTGTGATTTTGAAAATTATATTCTACCTCTTGAGATTTTTAATTTCATAGCAAATTATTTTTTTTTATTAATAAATTATTAAATTAATTAACAGTTTTTAATGATAAAAAATATGTTTCAATTAATAATTTAAATAATTTTATTATGATATAGGAGAGTAATTATGAATTTTATTTTTTTAATTAATTTTATTAAATAAAAAATTTTGATAAAAAATATTTAAAGTTTTTTAAATTATAAAATAATTTATATTTTAAACAAAACTCCAATAAATATGATGTTTCATAACATTGTTCATTTCTTTCTTCTAGAATAATCATTTCAACGATGCATTGCATCCCCATGTCACACGGCTTTAATGAGTCGTTGCCATATAATGAGATTGTCGGTGCTCGTCTTTCATGTGGAGGCCAGAGAGTATGCAACAATTGTGGTGCGTAATCCATTGAATTGGAAAAATATAGATTGTGATTAATTTTTTTAAGATTATTTTTTAATAATTTTTTTTATTTGTAATTTGTGTAAGATTTTTGGTTTGGCCGTGGGCCTTTGTTGTTTTTATATTTTGTTTTGTATGATCTTTCTTTTCTTTTAATATATTTCTCCTGTCTTAAAATATTAATTTTTTTTTATTATTATCTCAAAATATTAGTCTCTTTTTAAAAATTAAGGAATAAAATAATGTGAATTTATTATTTTACCTTTCTTTTAAATTTATTAATAACACAAAATATATTTATAACAATTTATATTTCCAAAAACATATACTATCAAGGGTAATTTTAAAAAATTAATATTTTTAAATATAATAATTATGCTATCAAAAAAATTAAAATTCTCCAAAAAGATCATTATTTTGGAACAAAAGATTATTGTGTTTTAACTTTTCTCAAGAAAAAAACAAAAATAATGAATGATTGAATCTTATCTTGCTGAACACAAAAAAAGTTAAAATATTTGTGTGATTGACAATATGTTCTGAGTTCTCTCTGGCAATTTCATTTCATTCACAAGGTAGCAGTGATAATTTGTACAATCGATCCAAATGTCACTGTGGGTGATTTTTTGATCACATTATTCATTTAGTAATTAGTTAAAGAGTACCGACAGAATAGATGGTTACAGTTAACCTGTAACAGAAAGAGAAGGCTCTGGTGGTGGTTCTTCTACCCGGGGCACTCCGACGATCAAGCCAGTATATCTCTCAAAGATAATTAAGTGCTAAACTCACTGCTCAAAGCATAAATTGCGTACCTTAGACCCACGGGGGTGCCTCTCTTTATATAGTTAACTCAATTCTAGTCCCATTAGAAGCCTGACTTCTAGGGACTCCAATTCTGGACTTACCTTGGATCTTCAAGAGATAAAGATAAACTCCCTAAGAGCTTTATCCTCATCTTGACTAAGTCTCCTCTTCATTCTTGGACTCTTGTCCCCTATCCGCTTATCTCGGATTCTGATATCTTCGGAGGAAACCTTGGTCTAACCGAGATTACCTCGGCACAACGACCAGGACACGTGGTACCTCGGCTGACACGTCGGCGTCACCTTGCCACGTGTTGGTACTCAGAAAATATATCCCTACAACTGCCCCTAGGTTCTATTACCTCGGTATCCTGAGGTAATGGAACCTATATCAGTATTTTTTCCTGTACATCGGCTCAAGAACTCCTCAGCCAAGATCATTCATTTCAGGCTGACATGTTCTCTTCAGAGAACAAGAATTCCAGTGAACTCTTTCACGTGTGTGAGTTGTCACGCATCATTTACTCAACCGTTTCATTCACGCGTCTTCACCTCATTAGACCGTGCCTATGACGCACTTGCAAGCCGTCTTGCGTCCGTGTGCGCCGTCTGACGTATGCGTTGTTCCAGGCGTATTCAATGCTCCGTTTTGCCGCCGTTTCAAATTTTTGACAAAACCTTTCCCCCTTTCTTCATTTTTCACTTTTGCATTCGATTTCTCTTCGCTTTTTCTCTCTCTAACTCCTAAATGCGCCATTGTTCCAGTCCTCAAGCTCTGCAACTGCCTTCCTTTCTCCCTTCCTGTGAAGCTTTCGTCGTTTTTGTTACATCTATAACTGTCGTCTGGCTTCGGCAATCTTCATACCGGCTTCACTTTTTTCTGGTAAGCCACTGTTCCTTACGTTTTCAATTCTGTTGATATTCTTCATTACTTGTTGCCGTTATTGTTTCAAATCTTGCGAATCACATATCTGAACATATTTATTCAAATGGTTTTGATCTTGCCCATATGTTGAATACATACAGTTCACCACTTTCTTGCACTCTTGTTACTGTTCTTGACCCTTTATTTCTCGTATTCTTTATGCTCTTGATAGCCCATCCCTGTTCTTGATTCTAAAGTACGTCTTTGCCTTTCTGTCTTCTAGATCCGTGCCTTCAACCCTTGTTTTCATAGATTTAGATTTGGGATTTGTTGTGTAGAACCTATAATTTAGGAAAAAAATGAAACTAGTACTTTACCTAGATTTTTGCTGAGGTCTTATTAACCCTCTCAAAACATTTTTTCTCTGAAATCCAACCCCTCTAATTCAGGCCGATATCATGGGTATGTGGAGACATAGGGTAGATACCCCGACCAAACTTGAGTACTTTAGGCAAGAGTTCTCTATCCCTGCCGATGTCCATCTGAGGCTGGCTGGAGATAACGACTCCATCATACCCATAGATGATTCGATGCCCTTTCCCATTGTAGCTTTCACTGAGTGCGGACTTTGACTCCCACTCAACATCTTTTTTCGTGAGATTCTTCACTATTATAAGTTGAAGCCCATGCAACTGGTAATCAATTCCTACCGAGTGATCAATGGCATCATAGCCCTAGCTAAACAGGAAAATGCTAGGATCACCCTAGCCGATATCCAGTACTGCTATACCATGTGTGCCCTTAATTTGAAAGAAAAAGGCTACAAAAAAGGCTACATTTATTACCTTAAGCTGAGGTCTACAGAATTCAAAATCGTAGCCGACCTCCCAGACTCCAACAAGGGGGCTGGAGATGCCTATTTCATTACCTCGGGAAATTGGGAGTTCACTCCAGACGAGGACATCCATCTCTACCCTCTTCCTCGATCAGTTTTAGAGGGTAAGGGTAAGAGCCCAGTATTCAGCTTTGCTTGTTTTCTTTCAAAGTCTTAAATACTTTGTCTGTTTCTGACGTCTGTTCTTCTTGCAGCTGTTCGTAAGCCATCGAAAAATTTTCGCCAATCCTTTGTTCCCAGCAAAGATTTGAAGAAACTTCTGGACTTGCTAGTCCATAAAAGGAAAGCGACTGTACTTCTCAATTTTATTCCAACATATAAGTCAACTTTGCCCGACGTTCCCAAAAGGAAGAAGAAAAGCCTTTCTCCACCCTCTGCTATAACTCCATTGACTGCATCCATATCACGAACAGATCAAGGATCAACATCCGATCCAGCTGATCAGCCATCAACTTCGGCTCCATACCTGGTCCCAATATCAGAACGAAAACGTCGGCGACGACTTGTCCTTACTGCCGAGATGGGCCGCCCAAAACTAGTTGCAAAAGACCTCTTAGCCAGCCTCCCTTCTGATGTTGAAACTCAGCCAACACAAACCATGCCCCCACCAAAGCCGAAAAGAGTTAAAAAGGCTCAGCCAAAGGCTAAAGTAACTTAGGTTGAATCTGAGGATACTTTACCTATTTCCAAGCTGGCTGAGAATGACAAATCTCAACCCTCTGCTGGGAAGAGGCACTCTGAAACCCAGCCATCAGAATCTCAAAAATCAAAGAAGCCGAGGTCATCCTCTGCAACGACCTCGGGGTCCAAAATACCAGACATCCCCTGGGCGCCTGAAATTACTCTAGAAGATAAGCCTGCCATGGCTAATGATAGCGCCGATGACATCAATGTCGGCGTCGCCCTCAGTATTGCTCTACTTCTTCCAGGCGATCTTGACAGGAACGCCAAGATGAGCGAGTATGAGAACTATGCTTTCATGCTTCAACGTTCTGTTCAAGTAAGTGTCTTCACTTGGTAACTTGTCTTTCTTTCTCCTTTACATACTTGTAAAATTTTTCAAATAACTTTTGCCTTGTGTTTTTTCAGGCCATTCAGAATACCCATTCTCTCTCCATGCAAGCCTTTGAAAATCGGGAGAAATTGGTAAACATAAAGAGGGAGTTTTCTGCCCTTTAAAAGGCCAATAAAAACCTTCAATCAAAAATGAAAAAGTTGGAGGATCAGGCTGAGGCTGCTATCAAAGCCCAGATTGAGGCCGAAGAGAAGGTCGATTCTGCCGAGGTGTCACGACCCAAACCCGCCCCTATGGGTCTAGCACCGTAACCGGCCAGTAATCCGAGATTATCGAAGGCCTGCTTAACAGAAATACAGTAATACAGAGTACAGGGGCTGGCGGAAGCCAATACAGTAAATAAACAATGTCTAACGAGCTGTGATAATCTGTATGCAAAAAGACTTTTCATTCAAATATATACAGTCGAACAAAACAGTATGTACATATATATGATCATTCAGTTCAGGGACCTAATCCCTATTAAATAGTACAGTAACAGTACAGTAAACAAAACAGTTACAGAGACAGAAGGGGGAACTAAAACACCCCTAAGCCATAACTTTTCAGGCTCAGAACCTCGCATTGAGGCACATAGGTTGGCTCGACAAAACTGGAGTTTACCCCGACGCTCCTAGCTGCGGTCTGGTGC